AACCCCAGTTTTAATTGGGCAAACACAGCCTTAATTGACACCCCATTTTATTCTTCACAACTTGCTATGAAGCAGATATCCTTTTATTGTTGTTGTCAATCTTCACCCGAGGATTTTTTTTCCATTGATTTTTACAGAGAGTGGAAGGGAGGGGGAGAGACAGAGAGAGAGAAACATCCATGTGAGAGAGACACATTGATTGGTTGCCTCCTGCACGCACCCTGACCAGGGCCAAGGATCGAGCCTGCACCCTAGGTATGTGCCCTTGACCGGAATAGAACCCAGGACCCTTCAGTCCACAGGCTGACGTACTATCCACTGAGCCAAACTGGCGAGGGCTGAAGTGGATACCCTTTAATTCTCTCTTTCCACAATCACTTATTGAGTGCCTACTGTGAGCCAGGTTCAGCTGTAGGAACTGTACAGAGGCTGGATTGTCACAAGGACACTCTCACAAACCTCTCCAAAACTCCATGCTTTCAAACAACAATTGTTTATTTTCACCTTTGAGTTGGTGGGTTGGTGGGGTGGTCTGCATCAGACTTCAGATCTGCAGATTTGAGCCTGCTTCATGGGTCTCTTGTCCTCCTCCTCGAATCACTGGGCCACTGGGGTGTGTTCTTCCCTTCTCAATGGCAAAGAATAAGAGAGCAAGTGGAACCACGCGAGGTCTCTTAAAGCCTACGCTCAGAACTGTCACTTTCAACACATTCCATTGGGCAAAGTGAGTCCCATGGCCAAGTCCAAGGTTAAGGAGCAGGGATGCACACTCCACCCAGGAAGAGGTCACGTCAAGTGTGTGGAGTTGGGGAGGGGTGAGGAAGTGGGACCAACAATCCTACACCAAGAAGGAAGTTAGTTCAGAAGTGGGGCCAGAGCCTAGAGGGGCCCAGAGGAAAGGCGGCAAGCAGAAACCAGCAGGTGGTGGGAGCCGGAGACAGAAGTATGGCTGTGTGGCCGTGGCAGGAGACCCAGAAAGAACTAGAGAATTGAAGGATAATGTAGACTACAGACCAGGTATCATGGCATCCATAACTTCATTTCATCTTCAAAACCTTCTGGCTTCGATTCCCAAACCATGTGCCGAGGCACCCTGAGGTATGGCAGAAATCTCACAGATGCACAACAAAGTATTTTACAAATTTGAAGAAAACACAATAACCTCTGTTGGGTACTGTGTAAACTACAATTATTAAGTTGTTTAAAACGAATTGCTTAATAACTGTTAGGTATTTCTTTGGGCCTGGCACACTGTGAAAAAATTACTGACATGTTAAGGGTGCTGTGAACTGAGGAGGTTTAGGAACCTCTGCCTACGAGGAAGACACCATTGTTATCTGCATTTTATAGTTGATTACAGATAGATCCTACTATTCGCTCCTTTTTCTAGATGAGGAAACTGACATTCAAAGAGGCCCTGGCCCTGGCCGGTGTCACTCAGTGGTTAGAGCGTCTGCCTGAGGACCGAAGGGTCGCCAGTTCAATTTCCAGTCAAGGGCACATATCTCGGTTGCAGGTTCAATCCTCCTCCTCCTCCTCCACCCCCCACCCCCCACCCCGAGTCAGAGCACGAGCAGGAGGGAATCAATTGATGTGTCTCTCTTATGTTGATGTTTCTCTCACTCTCTCTTCTCCTCCCCCTTGCTTCCACTCTCTCTAAAAATCAATGGAAAAAATATCTTCACTCCTCTGATGAGGACTGAAAAAACAAAACAAAACAAAGAGGCACGGATTTCTCAGGATCACCGCCGCAGGGCTGGAATTAGAACCTGTTCCCCCTGACCTGTGTGGAAGGCCTTGCCTGTTGTTTTGAAGTGATGGAGCGCCAGGCAGGGGCTCGAGCCAGCCATCTGCTGAGCTCCTGGGCAGGCCCAGTGGGTTCTCTGTCTGACACAGTGGAGGGTTGATAGGAGTGCGTGGCAGTTGGAGTCTGGCGCTCGGTCCTTGGCCTCCAGTGCTGACACCTGATCACCTGGAAAGCCATTTCTCCTGGTTAACTTGTTCTGATGCACTTTCATTTATTTTTAATCTTGGGATTCTGGCTCATTTTACTTCATAAGCTCAGAAAGGCTTGGCATGTGGGGTAAGGGAAGGGGGAGCCAGGAGGCCTGGAACAGGAAGGAACTCTGAGCAAGGAAAAATGTCTCCACCAAATACAAAAGCCAGAATCGCCATCTATTCATCATCCATGGGCAGCTAATAATATGGCTTCCATGTGTCAGACCCTGCACTGATGCTGGGGGTACAGGGATGCTGGGGTACAGTGGTGAGCAAGAAAGAGCCCCACAGCTGATCTCATGGGGCTTATGGTCCAGCTGGTAAGAGGACCCATTAGCAGTCAAGTGGTTCAAAAATAGTACTTTGTAACACAAACCTGACACATATACTAGTACTAGAGGCCCAGTGCACAAAATTCATGCACTGAGGGGGAGGGGATCCCTTAGCCCGGCCTGCACCCTCTCAGAGTCTGGGACCTCTCAGGGGATGTCCACCTGCCGGCTTAGGCCCAATCACCGGGGATCGGGCCTATGCCGGCAGTCAGACATCCCTCTCATAGTCTGGGGCTTTCGCAATCTGGGACCCCTCGCTCCTTACCACCTGCCTGCAGCGGAGGCGAGAGAGGCTCCCGCCACCACCACTGCACCTGCCAGCTGGAGCACACTGACCACCAGCGGGCAGCTCCTGCATTGAGCGTTTGCCTCCTGGTGGTCAGTGCACGTCATAGTGACCGGTTGTTCTGCTGTTTGGTCAATTTGCATATTAGGGTTTTATTATATAGGATATGTAGAATGAATACATGAGTGAAAGAATGAAGGGATTTGCAAATGAAGAAACTGTGGCTCAGATGGAGATACGAGTTGCCCAAGCAATTCAGCAGCTGTGGCAAACATCAGTTGTCCTTTGATATCCCTTCTCCTAGTCACTCATAGCAAAGACACAGCCCCAGTTTCCCTTGTAGGTAAGTGTGGCCATGTGGTTAAATCCTGGCCAATGGGATACAAATGGAAGTGATCTGTGCAATTTCTGGGTTGTGCCCTTAAAAGGAAGGAGGAGGGTCCCTGCCTCTTCCCTCATCCTCCTGCTGACTGGAATGTAGCCACAAGAGCTGGAGGTGGCGTAGCCGTCTTGGACCACAAACTGGAGGATGGCAGAGCAACAAGATAGCAGGAACCCAGGTCTCTTGTGACTGATGAAGCCACCATGCCAGGCTTAACTGCCAAGTATACTTTTAAATGAGACAGAATTAAGTTCTGCTTTATTAAAAACACTATTTAACGCAGGAGTCAAACCAATGTCCTTAAAAATATAGCGGCAGAAGTCAGGTCCCTTGATTCCCCCCCCCCCCCCCAGCCCTTTCTATAATCCTCCCACCTATTTTATTTTCTTCCAAGTGTTTTCTTGTTCAGGACCTGGCCTGCTCCTCACAACAGCTCCGTGAAGTTCATAGCAGAGAGCGCACGCCCGTGACGCTCACAGGGCTCACAGAGATGCGAGAGGTGTAGTGACCTGCCCTGAGGCACATGGGCAGAGTTCCCATCTCTTGGACGGAGCAAGTGGACTCAGAGGTGTCATTTAGCTCTGCCTCCATTTCTGACTCCCAGTCTAGGGCCCTACCCGCCCTTGGGGCTGTCCCCTCTCCTATTCTAGGCACCTTAGCCCTCTCCCCCACTTAGTAAAATACACATGAGGCAGATGTGTAGCAGGAAGAAGCTTCCACATGTTAGAGCCCTCAAACCCTCCCACCCTCCCTTCCTCCCACGTGAGCACCTGCCATTGTGCCAACTAGGGGGAGCATGGGGATGATGCACCACAGAACACGGTGGTTAAGATGATTGAGTTAATATTCGAAAAGCACTTAGAACAGTGCCTGGCATACGGGGAGGCCCATATAAGTGGTTGTAAACTAAAATACACACACAAGTAATTCATTACTATTACTTCACCTCTGAGCCTGTTAAGTGTTGTTCCCTCTTCCAGGAATACTTTTCCTTTCTCCCCCTTCCTTCACCTAGCGAAATCTCAATCTTACCGGGGCTATCCTTTCATATCACTCCCCTTGACACATTGCAGGCTGTTTTCAGAGTTTTCTCACCTAGAACACAGGGGGTCAGATTTTATCTGTATTTTTCAAACTTCTGCTACTCACGTACCTCCTCCTCAATTTTTGCCTACCATCTCTGCTTTGATTGACTTATATTTGTCTTTAAATTATTCTTTAAAGGAACAATTTTTTTCTGAGTGACAGAAATGAAGTGGTCTCTATTTTCGCTCTTG